CGATCCAAACTCTTGGTCATTCAGTCCATGTGCAACTGCTGAATTATATCTCCTTACAGACGATGGACTATTTTTTGTTTGTTTAGTGCTCTCTGCTCACCTGCAAGGAAACTAAGTCTGCACAATTCCTTTCAAGCTAAAGAACACCACCAAGGATAAGGGCAGGAAATGCCCCCTGGCACCGTAAAGGCGTCAGGTTATTTCTGCTCATGACAGAAGACTTGAATGTGATATTTATTGTGATAAACTTTTGCAAGTCTCTTTGAGAAATACAGTGGTAGCTACGCCAGTGTCACCCAGATATGTTGAACTCCCAACTTCCATCAGCCCCAGCCAGCATGGCCAATGGGCAGGGATGATGGGAGTTGCAGTCTAGCTGGAAGACCTGAGCAGGATTTAAGTATTCTAAGTAAGCAAGCAAGTAAGTAAGTAAGTAAGTAAGTAAGTGAAATAAAGTCGTCTGCTTCCTGTTCTGTTTTTGATCTTCTACTCCCAGTCTTACAGATACCGTATCTATTCTGATCTACAGTAGTTCCTGGGGGGGACGGGACTTTTTAACTGCTTGCATATCTTGGGGTCTTGGAAGCAGAGTAAATAATTTTCCTTGGGCCACATCTGTGCTAAAACAGAGGGTTTTGATGTCCTGTGTTATGGAATAGATATGGCCTCTGGTGGTGGCTGGAGTTGATGAACCTGAGCAGTGCTGAGTGACGGCTCCTGCAGCCTTTCAAAGTTCCTCTGTATTAATAAGAGAAATTGTCATGGCTTCCTTTTGTAAAGCAACTCAAAAGGGTATCATTGGAACGTTCACTCTCCACCTTTACAGCTGGCATTGTGTGTTAAGGTTCTCTGTTACTAAGTCTGATTAAAACTCTCCAGATTACAAAGGGCGCTTGTAATGAGCATTGGCAGCACAACACTGGGAAGCTTGGATCTAGTCAGGACCAAATAATTAATCTCTGTTTAATGCTGTGCTAGATGTCTTGCAGGCTGAGCAGTATCTTCCTTAGAAATAGGCATCTGATATGAGTGTACAAATCTACAGAACATACTAGAGATGTAAGCTGCTAAGGTCACAGTTCTGGGCATTACATTTGACATTTGCCTGTAGGGCAAATATTTTAAGTTGTTGCATGTAGATTTGGGTTGGGATGGGGGGGGGCTGCTCCCAGAAGGAAAATCATTCCATGTTACTATCATGTTGTTGGGTCCTGTGAAAGATAAAGTCTGTCTCCTGAAAACAAAGGGAGGAACTGCATCCTTAAAAGCAGAGGAATGGATGAGGAATTTCTTGAAAGGTGATGCTCCCAGCCTTTGCAGGAAAATGTTTCGCTTGGGTGGGGCAGCACTCCTCTTAAAACTCACCCCCACCAGCAATATATTCACACACACAATGATGTCCCCATGGCCATTGAATGGCTAATTCTACTCAAGCACAGGAGCAGTTGTGGCTTGCGTATGTACTATTGCTGCAGCATCGCAGAGAGAAATACAAAAGACGGAGCAGGGAAAGGATGAGGGAAACCAAGGACTCGCCAGCTGCAAAGTGCCTCCTACTACAACAGTATGGGCTGTTGAGCTTGGGTTTTTTGGGGGGTGGGGTGGAAAGAAGCAGGTTCACTCTTGGTCTGTGCAAGTGTAAGAGACCAATGTCTTAGGAAAGCGGAGACTTGCTACAGGCTTCTGTGAAGCACAACTTCTCCAGCTCTATTTCCAGCAAACTGGGTCCAAGAGCATTGTACCTGAGGAATAAAGAAAACCTTGTCAGCTGTAGAGGCTAGTGGTGCTTCAACTCTCAGCCAATGTGTCTTGAGTCACACCCAAAGGGGAGAGGTTTATAGGAAGCTGACTTGCACAAGTCAGACACTTGGTCTATACCAGGGTTTCCCAAACTTGGGTCTCCAGCGGTTTTTGGACTACAACTCCCATCATCCCTAGCTAGCAGGACCAGTGGTCACGGATGATGGGAATTGTAGTCCAAAAACAACTGGAGACCCAAGTTTGAGAAACCCTGATCTACACAGACAGTAGCTCTCTAGGCTTTCAGGCAGGCAGGGGTCTTTCCACAGTCTTCCTTGGACCTTTTACATGCCAAATATGTGCTCTTCCACTGCGCTATGGCCCTTCTCAAACAGCGTTGGAGCGAGTTAATTGTGGGCTGTGACTGAGACAGAGAGCCAGAAGAAGCTGTGTATGATAAAGTAAACCAGTGTGTGTTCACTTATGCACACAGCCAGAAGGGGGAAGTCCAGCTGTTAGGAGCAAGCAGTGACAATGCCTTTTAAGGTATTGTCACACACAGGCTTACATAGTCTTTCCTTTGCATCAGGCTGTATGAGTAATGAAAAATCTGCATTGGTAAAAGTATATATTGGATTACTTTGCTGCTTTGTGTGGTGAAATGCTTGTTTTGGGGTGCATTGCATGGCCAGTAAGATCAGCAAGGGTACATAGAAGGAGATCATCATGTAGGGATTTAGCATGAGCTAGCAAGGGTAGCCAATGTGGTGCCCTCCAAATGTTAGGAGACAACCCCTATATTCCCTGCCCAATAGCCATGCTGGCTGGGGCTGATGGGATTTGAAGTTTAGCAGCATTTGGAGGGCACCATTTTGGCTTTCCCTGAGTTAGTTTCATAAGTTAAAATGAATACTAGCGCATTGCATTAGTATTTAGGAGGCAATTGAGAGCCACCTTTAGATCCTGGTGCAATAGACTTCTCAGGAGGTGCCTCATCCAAAGGCACTCCTCTGCAATCTGTACCATTTGTAGCCCCAGGGAGATTCTAAGATCAGCGCTGCAGATCAGTGCTGTACGTTTATCTATCTTGTATTGGCTAAACATCACACAAGTTAATCTGTACCAAGGGTTTGCAGCCTTCTTTCCCAGCTGCTGCCATAACTGGAAGATTCAGCCAGGACAGGCTGTGACTGGCGAGATCAGAGTGAACAAGTACCATCAGTGAGACATCATTTCCCAAGACTTGCCTGGGCAGAGCCTGCAAACTGCCATTACTTTGGTTTTGTCTGGATTTTGCGTCAGTTGCCAATACATCCAGGTACCATATAATCATGGTAGGCTGCAAGATCAGCGTCAGCTTCTCCAAAGTGGTCCCACAAAAAGTTGCCTATGTTGTATTTGACTCCTGAAAAATCTAATTAAGAGGTAGGGAACCTGTCCTCCTGTCCATCAGCTGACGGACAGGTGAGTATGGTTTGGAGAAAATGGTCTTGCAGGCCAGATTGGACTCCAGTGGGCCAGAGGTTCCCCAGCTCTAATCTAATAGGATCAACAGGTTTCAGTTCCACCATGCTGGTCTTGAAGCATAGATGGTGAATCGTGGTAACAAATGCAGTAGCCTTGTGCAGAAATACACCTTGCTTCTCAAATCACGACAACTTCAAGAAAGCACATGCTAATGAGATTCCCTCTTAACCAGGGTTTGCCAACCTGATTCAAATGCCGGTTATGATGCAAATGTGGTGGGCTTTAGCCAAATTTGGTGCAGATATAGCACTAAACCACAGTTAAGTTTGATTAGGGAAGGGAATGGAGGGGCAATGCATGCTGGAGAGGAGTAGAGGGAGGGTGCATTCCTGAAGCCAGCTGCTGATTTGTACACCATGGTTAGCAGAGAACCAGCATTATGGGTCCAGTACACAAGGTGCGGTAAACCAAAGTATAACTTACTGGCACAGCGTTGGTGCCTAAAGAGGTTCTCACGCCCACTGTGCTTCCTCCTTTTTTAACTGTGCAAAACTGCAGCTAAGTCAAACTGGGGTTCATGCTTGAGGTCTCTTCTCCTTAGTCATGACCAAATCTTGTGGTTAAGGAGGAGAGACCTGTGCAACCCTTGGCTTGGAGGACACACAAGTCAGACCTTGGCTTAGTAGCTACGCCACTCTGAGCTAAAAATTCTGGGAAGGAGTAAAGTGAGCATGATTGCATATTTGGGAGCCTCCATGCTAAGTTGTAGTTTGGCTTAGCGTTATGTGAAAATTTGGCCTCTGTCAGGAGAATCAGATGTTTTCCAGGGCTGCCTTGTTTATTCAATTATTTCAATTGTTCTAATTACACAGTGAAGCTAATGAGCCTTTAATTCCTACTTAGCTAGTTTATCTTTTACTATCACTTGTTCTCACAAAGAAATGCATGGCCTGTAAAATGCAATTCCTGCCAGCCAGCTCACCTAGAGCTGTTGTATCCATGTTTGGTGAGCAGGATGAAAGGGTTTGGCAGATGACATCACCTTCCACCAAAGTAACTCAAATCCTTCCTGCCGTCCGTAAAGGTGACATTATCTGTTGTTGTCGGCAACACACAACCCAACAGGTTTTTCATTTGGCAAGCATCTGCGGCCTCGCCGAGAACTTTGCTGGCTTCTCTTCTCTCGGGTTCATAGCATATTATCCTTCAAGGGTCGACATAGGACAGGCAGAGGGCGAATGCCAGAGCAGCTCCAGTTCCGATTCCTATAAATGTCTGGCTGGCTGTTTGCTTGGCAGCTCACTGGTGGTGGGGGGGGGGGTCACATGTTTCTGGTTGGGGCATCTAAAGCAAAACATAGTCATTGCAAGAGCAAAAACAGTGCTGCTTCTGCCCATCATCACCCCTAATCCCAGCAGGCTCCTTTCCCTCTGCCCTGTGTATACATCAGGATGCACTGTATATTTAATAAACTGTCACCTGAGCCCACCCTGCCTTTGCAAGCCAAACTATCTGCTAAATTTGGGATATTATGTTCGCCCAAGCCAAGTATCAAGTTCTTTCGATCACATGCGCTCCCTCCCAGCCGGTATTTAACTCTGAAACTTCTGTGAGAGTTAATACTTTACCAACACAGTTGATCAGAGCAACTGAAATCTTTCTTCTTTTTGGGAAAAAAAAAACTGTACTAGTTCTTTCTCCTTTTTCTTTTTCCTTTACCTTGTTTTGAAGAGTGGAATAAAGTTTGGGTTTCCCTTTTCAGATCCTGATAAATATGTTTCTAATTCTTTTAGCCACAACAGAATTAAAGGATTTTTTTGCCAAGGCCCGGAACGGTTCGGTCCGCCTCATCAAAATCGTCATCGAGGATGGTAAGTTTTACATTGATTTTGTGTTGTTGTCTTTTGGTGTCAGCTTCTTCAGTTGTGTACCAGTGGTAGAAAAGCAGGATACAAAATTAACAAATAAATATTTCTTCACTTCATTAATCTGGCTGCCACCAGTCAACTTGGGCAGGGTGGGTGGCCGGCCTAGAGCTACCCAGAGGAAGATTCTAGTGGAAGCTTCTGGAATGCATTACCTCAAGAATCCACACAACTTTAATTTTAAAAGAACAGTAGGTTTTATCCTTATTTGGAGTATTTTTGGTTGCCAGTGAAGCTTCCTTTGGAACATACTGTGAACCCCTTCATATTTTGAACAACTTTTCCCATGAGGGGCTTGCTGATATTTTTGTGAAGCAACAGACCAGAGTCCCATTAGATGGAATAAGATACTTGCTGTCTGGCCAAAGTGAGGTGGCATGTAGACTGTTCTGTTCCCGGGGCCATTTTCTGGGTGCTTTCAAAATTTGTCTCCTGTACAATGTAAATAAAAGGTTGTAGTCAATGTTAGCCATTGGAGTGTCTGATATGGTAGCAGTTGAAGACTTGTCTAACAAAAGAAGCATGGGGTAGAATCTAATTGGTGCCCTTGCGGTAGTGAAAGGGATTTTGATCCACTTATAGAAGAGGACAGGAAGCAATTTGCACTGATCCCCCTTCCCCTGCTCCTATTGTTCCTGAAAGCCAACTCAAGAAAGTTGAGGGACCCTCCAGAACAGGGTGGGAGAAGTCTGGGAGGTGGTGGGCTGCAGAGGGAAAGGAAGATTGGCAAAAATTGTTTCCCCTGTTCTTCCATTAGGTGACTCCTCCAATAGATTCCAGCCTAATTCTCTAGTAATGACTACAGGTGCTACTGGTTACTACAGGTGCTTGGCTACTATGAAACGACTGTCAGCCAGTAGATAACTGAACCACTTACAGATTAATCCCTATCTAGTGTGTAGGCTTCTCCTGTGAAACTCCTTCTTTCTTTAACCCATAGTTGGGGAACCTCTGACCCTACAGATGATGCACAACTACATCGACCGTCATCCCTGATAGGCTGCATCCACATGCCAGTTTATTCTGTTCCCTCAGTGTTTCCCTAACTCTTAAATTCCACATTGTATTTGACACAGATATGCAATGGAAGTCACTTCTGGAAATCTAAGGGAATGTAGGGGAAGTTTAGCGCTCTTTTCCATGTTAATTGCTTTTAGAAAAAATCTGTTTGCATTAACTCAGAACACTGCAGGAATGGAAGTGATGAAATTTGGGGCAGTATACCAGCATATTTCCTGCTCTTTTCATGAGGGAATAGACGCATGCTTAGCACGACAGGCCAGTATATTGGCCAAAAGCTACAATTCTGTAATGCAACAGGTACTGCAGTATGAAAGGAACCTTAGAAAATGAGACCGAAGTACTAGCATTATAATCAGATAGACTAGAGGTCAGCAAACTTTTTCAGCAGGGGGCTGGTCCACTGTCCCTCAGACCTTGTGGGGGGCTGGACTATATTTTTTTTGGGGGGGGATGAACAAACTCCTATGCATTTTAAATAAAAGCACACATTCTACTCATGTGAAAACACCAGGCAGGCCCCACAAATAACCCAGAGATGCATTTTAAATAAAAGGACACATTCTACTCATGTAAAAACATGCTGATTCCTGGACCGTCCACGGGCCGGATTTAGAAGGCGATTGGGCTGGATCCGGGCCTTAGTTTGCCTACCCATGAGATAGACTAATATAATATTCCCCACATCTGCATGCACCAATAATTGGCTATACTAGTGGAGGCTGATTGGAGTTGGTGTCCAACTGCGGTTGGAGGGCCTAAAGGTCAGGGCTGCTGAAGTCTTACGAAATTCCACATCCTTTGTCCTGGAAAGATAGCTCAGAATCAGTCTCCAAATATTTCCCTTGTAGAAGCTAGTTTTTGGATTGGCTTACTAAAATGAAAGCATGTCAAGGTCAAGGCTACACTACAGTCCTTTCTCCATGACTTACTAGTGTACTATATGGAGGTAATATTTTGGCTGAAAAAGCATTAATTTATATGAATTTGCAGCTTCAAGTGGGATGGTCCACATACAAGTTTTATCCCTCAGTGAGAAATAGCTTTTGTTTTTCCCAGCAAGTGATGTGTGCACCTTCTTGCTTACTGGATATCAGTTACATTCCTATGGGAAGTCATTCCCTTCTCTGCTCTCACTATTTTCTTCTCCTCTTTTTCCTGCCGCTGCCCACCAGCTGTTTCTTCCAATTTAGTTTTATTATCACCATGACTCTCACGTGCTGGTGATTCTCATCAGCTGATGAGAATTGGGATGGTGAGATTAGTGCATGAATATGGACTGGTCAGGGGGTTTCCAGGCAAGAAGCTTAGTTATGTCTAAGGTAAAAGGTAAAGGACCCCTGGACGGTTAAGTCCAGTTAAAGGCAACTATGGGGTTGTGGCGCTCATCTCGCTTTCAGCCCGAGGGAGCTGGCGTTTGTCCACAGACAGCTTTCTGTGTCATGTGGCCAGCATGATTAAACTGCTTCTGGTGCAATGGAACTTTGTGACAGAAACCAGAGTGCACGGAAACACTGTTTACCTTCCCACCACAGCAGTACCTATTTATCTACTCACACTGGCATGCTTTCAAACTGCTAGGTTGGTAGAAGCTGGGACTCACTCCGTCACAGGGATTCGAACCACCAACCTTCTGATCGGCAAGCCCAAGAGGCTCAGTGGTTTAGACCACAGTGCCACCCACATCCCTACTTAAATAAATACTCATGATCCAAATATCTGAATTGTTCGATGGCTCCCACGAAAATTTGTACCACTAATGTAGCCAACTAATTGACTTTGGTAGTCTCCAAATCTACTTGAGCTTATCCAGCTGTTCAGGAAAGATGGAGATCTTGTGGTTAGTCAAAAGTTAATAGCATTTCATTGCTGCTCCCGCTTGAGTCACTGGCCTTGGGAAGGTAATCTGAAGTCTGCTTCTGCTTCTAGAATTTTCCAGAAGAGGACTCTGGAACTTCTGGTTGATTACTTTGTGTGGAAAAACTGTGCGGTGCTTCAATTTCATGATCTTTAGAAAGATTATGCCTCCTAAGAAGCTTACTAGGATGAATCCTTGCATGTGTGTATATCTATATGTCTATGTATCTGTCGTGTCTATTGATCTAACAAACATTATTCTGTATATGAGAAACATGCCCTCTCTTTCCTCCCAGCATAGGTGATTCAGTGTTAGGCTTTTTAGAACTAGTGAATACTCATGGATGGATCCGGCATAGGAATCCGCACACTTAGTCATGGCTGACTTGAGGTGTATTTATATATGTGACGTGTTGCTGTAAAACTTGAGGGAGGCCTGCATAAAAGGAATTTTCCTCTTGAGTCTTTCCATCTTCTATATTTGGTGAAGAGCAATTGCCAGGGGCACCAAGGATGTCTCCGTGGGAGAGAGGAGATTAAAATTTAGATCATTAACTTTGTTTCAGAGATTCTGTACTCTGTAGTAGTGAGGAAAGGGGAAGATACTCCTCTTATTGAAGGTTTTTTTTTAAAAAAAGCAAACTTTTTTTCTGCCTGGGAAGGGGAGGGGGTCGGATTTTTTTTTACGGAGAGCCTTCCTGAGGACCTCATACGGGTGGTAGGCAGCGCCAGATGCAAAAGCAGGGAGAACAGCAGGTGTGACTCTTCCTTTTGTGTAGTTTCGCTATATCCCAGCCACACAGTCCAGAGGTTTCTGCCTACACACACCTCTCTACCTTCCATCCAGGTGAAGAAGAGGCATCATCACAGTTCAGACACATTCCGGCCGCACTATTCTTTCATTATGTGGGGGATGCATCGAAATCCCCGTCTTCTGCACTATCCATGACAGCAGGATTCTTTTCGTGCAAAATAGTCTGGCCCAACTGACGAGAACATTTTCTACAGTGTACTTGTAAGAGCAGGAACTTTCTTGTTTACCGACTCATGCCAGATTTTTATTTTTGTTTTACTTGAAGCTTTCTCCTTTGCTGCCGCCTGCTCTCTTCTCATTCCTCGGGCCTCCTGTTGCTCAATATGGCAGTGCTTCTTGACTCATTGCCTAAGCCACATAAGACTTTTTGATGCTTTTCTTGTCCTCGCTGCTGTTGCTGCTTTTTTTTCTTCTTCTTCTCATTTTGATTCAACTGCTTCTAATGATGGGATCTCCGGGTTTTGGGAAGCAACTTGAAAATGGCCTGATGTGCATTAAGAGTATTATGGATGGCCCCTGAAATGCAGCACTGCAAAAATAATTTTTTTTGGGAAATAATTTACATTTCCTCTCAGAGTGTGTGTGAACATTCAAAGGTACTTCAGCAGAGCAGAAAAGCAGATGTACTAGTAACAAGAGAAGGAGCTCTGAAAGAATGGTTTGCATGAAATGAGGTTTTAATGGCTGCTGGTGGGGGGGGGGAATAACATTTTTTCCAGTTCTAGAATGGAAAGCCCCAGTCTTTACGACCTTTCTATGACTTGGCTTGAAGGAAGGGTTGATCTTTTGGGCATCTTTCTAAATGGCAGTGCAATGATCTCCTTAAAAGCAACCACAGATTTCACAATTCCCTTTGGTCATTTCAAATGTATTTATAGCATGTCAGTTTCTTATGGAAGACACCACTTGTGAAATAAATGGTTTTAAATCTTTCATTTTCAGTACTTAAAAAATATATGTAATGAGCTTCTGTGATGCTCACAAAGTTCAGTGTGAAATCTCCTGTCCCCACAGCCCGTCCATGTTGTTTGGCATTGCCAGTCCCCCAGCAGATTTGCTCCTGGGCTCCTTGCATTCAGGAACTCCGTCCAGCAATACCTTTTTGCCACAGAGATACAGTAAAGGTCACAGGAACGTAAGAAGCTCTTTTAAACCAATTGGGCTACCCAGCTCAACACCAACTGATAGTGGCTAGTCAGGGTTTCCTGAAGAAGCTTTTCCTAGCCCTACCTGGAGACACAAGGGACTGAACATT